GACAAGGTACGATTAGCCTTCCTAACTGCCTCCCCACACTGCTGACCCATGTTCATCTTGGAGTCAATGATGACTACAAGATCCTTTTCTGCCTCCATGCTGACAAGAGGGGAGTTCCCCAACCTGTAGGTGCGGTGCCGGTTGTTCCTCCCCAGGTGCATCACCTTGCACTTGTCTGTGTTGAAACCCATCCTATTCTCATTCGCCCACCCTTGTAACCTGTCTAGGTCAGATTGTAGCCTGTTGCTTCCTTCTAGTGTGCCCATGTCCCCCCACACTTTAGTGTGATCAGCAAATGTGAACAGGGTGCTTTTTACCCCCTCGTCCAAATCATTGATGAAGATGTTGAACAGCATGGGCCCAAGGACCAAGCCCTGCGGAACCCCACTGCCCACGTCCCTCCAGGTTGAGAAGGACCCGTCCACCACCACCCTCTGGGTGCGGCCCTCCAGCCAGTTGGCCACCCATTTGACTGTGTGGGTGTCTATGCCACAGCCCTCCAATTTCTTAATGAGAACGAGGTGAGAGACAGTGTCAAAAGCCTTCCAGAAGTCCAGGAAGACGATGTCCACTGCTGCCCCTGCATCTAATGATCTGGTGATCTGACCGTAAAAGGCCACCAGGTTGGTCTGACAGGACCTGCCACTGATGAACCTGTGTTTGTTGCCCCTAAGCATGCAGTCCCTTGCTGGCCCCTCCTGGATGTGTGCCAGAATAATTTTCTTGAACAGCTTGCCTAGGATCGAGGTAAGACTAACTGGCCTATAGTTTCCCGGGTCCTCCTTCCTCCCTTTTTTGAAGATGGGAACCACGTTGGCCCTCTTCCAGTCCACCGGTACCTCTCCAGAGCACCACTTGTATAAGACTCCTATAAGACGTCTCCAATTTTGTCCATATTGAGGACAGTCTCACTTTATTGCAACTTCTTTACTGTAAACTTTCCTTTTAAACTGAAGACAGCTACTACAAAGAGCTTTATTTTTTTTTATCTTAGTTAGTTGGAAATACACAGCAAGGTGGTGCTGACTGGTATGTTAGGGGTCAGGATTTCTAGCTTTTTTCCCCAGTTTTTAAACAGTATAGCCAAGGGTAACTGCTTTTTTTTTAGGATCAGCTGTAAGGACTGAACCTAGACTTCTGAATCTAAAAGCATGAGTCTGTAATATGAGCTAACAGGCTACTAATGTTGAGGTGGTAGCAGTCTGAAACACCAGTACCAGGCATAGTCAATAGAAGAGCACTCAGAGCTGCACTGTAGTAGCATGGTTGTTTAAGTGCAACATTTGCATGTTTTTCTGCAAGAAGGATGGTAAAATGGAAGAGACCTGGCTCTGCCTTATCAAGGATCTACCTGCCATGATCTCATTAAATCTGTTATCTTGGCTGCAAAGTAGGTAAACAACCACTTTACCTAATATAGAAGTACAAATACTTGTCAAGATGTGTTTTGATGTGCACAGAAATATAAAGAGCTAGGACCAGAAATCTTTATACCCTGACTGGTGTAAATAGAATGTTTATACATCAAGGAAATGGAAAACAGTTCTTGCCTTGATTTTGCTGCATTACACTGAGTTTGCTTTGAAGTGTGGGGCAGAGCTGAGAGCAGATATGAGTACATGTGAACACACTTCAGAGTAACAGTCCATCAAGGGGAATTTCAGCTAAAGGAAAAGCCTTCAGTGAGCAGCAGATAACTGCAACTTCCCTTCATTTATGTCTTTAACCTACTCTTCAGGAGTTTGGTTTGTGATAGGAGGGAGAGGCCATAAAGTGCTTGTGACCCCTTGTCTATCCAGGTGGAGGCTGGGTAAGAGAAATCTACCCAATGAACAGCCTGCAGTTCAGTAGAGGCAACACATTGTATTTGAATTTCTAAATACTTGGGGAAGTTGAGCATTTCCAAATGCCTTTTAATATTCTCTCTGATCTGCCCTTAGGGAACAAGCAGACCTTCTCATTACCATGTCCTCTGGGATGACAATCGTTTCTCTTCGGATGAACTGCAGATTCTCACCTACCAGCTGTGTCATACGTATGTACGCTGTACTCGTTCCGTCTCCATCCCTGCACCAGCATACTATGCACACCTGGTTGCCTTCAGAGCCAGGTATCATCTGGTGGATAAAGAACATGATAGGTGAGTTACTGTGTGGTGGCAAAATAATACAAGTTTGAAAGGAAGTAGGGATTGGACTTCTTAAATGTGGAGGTCAGTAATGTCCCCCTTAATAGCTTCTGTGTACATTTTGTCTTTTGCTAAATACTAGTGTTTGAAAAAGAAGAACAATCATGATGTTATTCTAGCAGAGTAAAACAAAAGTATCTACCTCTTGTTCTTTTCCATAGTTCAGAAAAGTATTTTCAAAACCATGTTTTCAATTTTTGGCTATTTGCTCCATGTGAAAGTCCTGTATTTCAGGGGAGTCGGATTAAAAGGGGCTTTATTCTTTTCTTCTTTCCCTTCTTAGTGCTGAAGGAAGCCACACATCTGGTCAGAGTAATGGCAGAGATCATCAAGCACTTGCTAAAGCAGTTCAAGTTCACCAAGACACATTACGTACCATGTACTTTGCTTGACATGTTTTAATGTTTAGCGATTCAGTAGAGTTGGATTCACATGAGACCAGCTGCACTTAGACTAACAGTTGCCCAAGCTACACTGACAGCCAGCAATGAGTGATGCATCTGTATTTTATTTTTTCCATTTTCAAGAAGGCCTTCCGTCCAGAATTTCTGACTTGATTTCTGAACTACAGACTTGTACAAAACCTCACAATTGTTGGAAATGTGGTTTGCCAAATCTTTAAGCTGCTTGTCAGAAAACAGACCCAGGTTTTACAGCTGTGATCAAAAGCTGTGATCTCAGGGCTAGAAATGAAACAAAATTCATCATTTAGTTTCCTATTCATTTTAATTGTTTTTAATTTGGAAATACCTGATTTATATCAAACTTGATGGGCTAAAATGCTGTGAGCTTGCTTTTAATACAAAAGAAAGCAAAGCACTCTGAATATTTATGAAGCTTTGATTATTCTGGGTGCTTTTACAAAAGTTTTTATTTTCAAAGTGAAAAAAAAAAAAAAGAATTCTGGTCCTCAACTGTCTTACAAAGATAATTTTCTGTGTCTAAGGGCAAATGTATTTTCTGAAGTTTGTTCTTGAATGTCTTTTATTGTGCTGCATTTAAAGATGTTTTTCGTAGAGTGAATTATGAAATTAAAAAAGGAAACTTGTATCTAAACCTTTAATAACTACAGTTAGATTGGCAAAAGAAAATGTGCCATTTAAAAAATATTGTAAAGAGTTTTTTAAAATCATACTGACAGCTAATTATAGAATTTGTCCTATAGGGCAGTGACACTTACTTACTTTCCAAAGTTTCTAAAGAATACGGGTCTGTGGTGATACAGTACAATCCTTTTTCACTGTTTTATTTGAATTAATGTAAATTTTATATGTTTCACAGTATTAATGTGATAGACTAGAGGCTATTATTTATTTTTATTTACTAAGGAGTGCTCATCGTATTTCTGTTAACGTATCAAGAATGCTTTGGATTTTAGACATTAAAACCTTAGAGTGGGGATGTTACTATTCCAATACAGTAATATGCAATTGGCTTTGTAACAGTTCAGAGATGCATACAGTGTATATTTTATAGCTTGAAATTTCTAGAAAGACTCTTTACGTGTGCACACAACATGGCAGGTTTTACCTGTCTAGTTCAGAAATGCACACATGAGACCAACATTCAACATCCATTCAAGCACAAAACAATTTTTTATTTATGTGTTCATTTTCGGTGAAGCAGCAATTTTAATAGACTACAGTGATTTACTGGTTATAGCTAGGCAAAAATCATAGAATCTATGCAGTAAAAATAACTCTTAGGAAACTGAAGTTTACTTATGGAGGAAGGTGAAAGTCTGTTTTGTATAAGGTCAATAATGAGTTGAAATTTTTTGGCGAGGGGTTGCCGTTCTCTTAGAAGAAGCATTAATTGAACTGATAGTTATTATACATGCATGCTTGTTAGTTTGCACACTGGGTTCATACAAGTCAGAATACATGTAAAAACCATTGCACTACCTTTGACACCATAAACTATTTTAGAAGAGGGTGGGTAAAAATTTCCAAAGTTGTTTGCTGAGTTTTGTTTAATATTTTTGTAGGTTAAATCAAATACTTGTTAAGCACAGAGACTTTTTATTTACATTCTCTTCTACTGATTCATTTAGCTTTCTCTTTCCTCTCTTCCCTTAGCCATTTAGCCACTGTTGCAAGCACATTTACCTCCAGCCACTGAGGTGGAAAATAGCTTTATCCAGTACTAGTGTCCGTGCCATATTGTGGATAGACTAGGACTGGTTGCTGTTGAATAAGCCAGAAAATATCCAACCTTTGCTGCCTGAGAGATTTAGGTGCATAGTATTGTGTACATATTCAGGTCTGCTCCTCAGCTCAGTATGCCGTTGCCCATGTTGTTCAGCTGAAACAAAAGTGTAAATTCACCTGATAGCCGAGTTCAATTTACATTGTCCTAATTTTTTATTTCTGTCTTTCTGTTGAAATTATTGGGTCAGATTCTGCTCTCAGTTAAAGCTAGGCAAATCCAGAGTTACTCTTGATAATCCTGGTGAAACTGAAAACAGAATTAATCCCATTATCTGTATCTTTCTGTTCTCTACTCAGATTGCAAATGCCTCTATTGAAACAAAGATGAATAACCAGCCATAGCTCTTCCATTACGGGCATGCTGCACTTTCCTGTCTGGTATTTGAGGTGTAGAAATTGATTGAGGGGTTTTAATTTGGCAGTTAGTGGTATGGATTATTTCTTCTAACTAAAGTGTTAGTCATTTATTTGAAATAGTGTTGGCTTTTCATTCTCCTCTGTACAAACCTGGGACAGAAATGAGCAACCCCATGAGGTTAGAAGGGTGGAATCCACTTCAGTCCCACATCCTGAACTCAAGCAGGCACAAGGCTGGGGTGTAGTCGTTTATGTCTCCTCTTCCATCCCTTGGGATAGAATAGCAGCTGCTGCTCTGTGACGGGACTTCCTGGCTACTGGATTGGTGTGCAGATACACTAGCTCTCGCCCTGTTCCTCCCCTTCTACAAAAGATGTTAACATGCGGCCCAAATATCCCAAATGCAAAGGTGCAGAGGGGGTTTTGAAGATGAGACCATTATGCAGACCCTCTACCAAAGGCTGCCTGTTGCCTGTATGTCCCATTGACATGAGTGTGAATTCGGTGTGTAGTTCCCTCACATGTTGTGAAGGGCATAAACACTGTGAGACAGCTATGAGTGTTTGAGGGCCAAGGAATTTTACCTATTACAGATCTCTTCCAGCTAAAATACTGTTAATTTTTAGAAAAGGCTTTTTTCCAAAGAAAATACAGTGAATTAGCCCATAGTAGTTTAATTGTTTAAAGTGTTTTACAGAACATATTTTTAATGGGCAGTGCACATTGTGAAATAGGCACTAGGTGTGTACAGCAACTCAGTTTTCTATACAGATTTTTTAATATAAATAGCATGCATATAAGCAGCAACATGTGAATTAACAATACACTTTTATTGCTATATCAGTTTACTTTCTCCTGCAGCAGCTCTTGTAAGATCAGCAGTATCTCATGAAAACTCATCTGCATAAACTATTAGCAAATATTCTCCCAGAGAACCAAGGGAGAATAGTGTGATGAACTACCATGCACGGGAAGTTTAGGATTGTCATGTCCACCATTGCTGTTGAATTCTTTGTGAAGGCTGGTAGTTTTAACCACTAAGTCAGTAGTTCAAATTCAGCTCAGGTCAGCAGTAACCAAAAGGATTTTATCATCTGCAGTTCTTTGGCCCATGTAAAAAGTTTACCTGACTCAAGTCAGGGGAGGTGAGACCAGATCCTGCTGCATTACGCCAGTTCTGCTCAGTTACATTGCTGGCAATGGCTTTTTCATTTTGATTTAACAGCTGATATAAAATTTGCTGTCTTGCTAGCAGACTTATCAGAAAAAAACAAGTGTAGAATGGGCCGTGGTGTTTGAATTCCCCTTGTCCCTCTGGGGTTGTCCTTCCAGTACAGAAACAAACAATGGGGGAAGCTTATACTGACCATTGCCCATCATTAAGAAGGCAGGTTGTATGACTATCAGTCTCAGCTCCTTTTGTTAGAAATGTATTTCTATAAGAAGAGTCTTATGAAGACAAGGGTGTCAAAAAGTGTTGGATGGATTAAGCCTGAATTTGGGGAGGAGAGTGTTTGGGGAGGAGGAGAGACTAAGCAAAAAATCCTGAGTTGAAAGCTGCAATTTCCTGCCTTACCTGTACTAAAATAGCAAAGCTCTTGAAACACAGTAACAAATGCTGCTATCCAAAGGTGCAAAACAATACCAGCAAAGATCAAACACTTAATATAGGCCTTTTAACAAAATAAAGCTAGATACAAAACTACTCTTGGGCTCTGCTGTGCCTTTTAGGTACATCAGCCGTTTAGAGGGAGAGGGGAAGGCAGTGTGGCCCCAATAGACCAACTCAGGGTAGGGACAGACAAGCAAAATATAGTGATATCGGAGGTAGGAGCAGGGACTTCCAGTGCAGTAGCTGCTCCGAGGTGACTATTGTTTGCCTGGTCTTACTTCGTGGTAAATGGAAGTTAGTCCTTTTTCATTCAGGGCCAGGTCACTAGAGTTTGCCTTTCACGTACGTAAGGGTAAGGACAGACGGTGAAAAAATTGTTATGCAGCCTGCTTTCAAATTGCTGCACGTTGTTGTCTGTCTGTAGCCTTAGAGTCCCAGTGCCTCCTGGGACACGTGGGCAATGCTGTGACAGCCAGTGTTAGAAAAAGGGGTAGAGCCATCAGCCCCTTGCAGTCCAGTCTGTTAAACCTTCCCTTCCCTTCCCAACTTCGCACTCAAACACACAGTCTGGTCAGTTTTCTTTGTTAGCATATTGTATTTTTGGCTTGATTCAAGCTTGAATACTTTCACTCCAACATTTGACCAGCCTGTTGCATAGTGGGGAGATCATTTGAATAAATGGACAGCAACTTTGCGTGTTTCTAGATGGATCAGGTGAAAAACCTTCAAAAGGCTTTTATTAATTGTCCAAATCATAAGGAGGCATTGTTTGTACATCCGTTGGTGTTGGCTTGAAAACTTACATAATTATGTTAAGAAAAATTCCACTGTGTAATTATTTTTGACCCCTTTAACATTTCCTTCAGTTTGCCCAATTCTGGAATCAAAAAAAGACTTCAATTGATTCTTGCGGTCTTCATGCAGTTTTAAATGCAGCATCTAATACAGCGTTTGCTTCAAAAATTGTAGTAGTTCTCTTAGCATGTTTCATGTATAATTAGGATGAAGGATAAATTTTCAAAAGGTTTAAATCCATTTTTGAACATGGGACTTGGTCATTTAGATTTCTTAAATGGCCATGTCACTTTAAAAAAAAAAAAAAAAAAAGTAGGATTTAGGTTTCCCGAACAATCAGGTGCATTTGAAAATTTCCCCCACAATCTGTCTAATTTGTATGTGCACGCAGAGACTTGGATACTAGAGATCAGATTGTAACCTGAAGTGCACTGCATGTATATCGCTGGATCACTTGCTTTCCTTTTGCGCAGAAGTATGTTCCTGAAACTAGGCAATACTGTGCACCACACTATTGAAGCCCTGGTTCTTTTCCATCTAAGTTGCTAGCAAATTTTCTTTCTCTTCACTGAGATCAGGAGAAGGAAGAAGGCCCTGAATTTGCTTGCTTCCCACTTTTACCACACCCCTGAAAATTAAGTGGATTGCTGAATGTTGCAGTGCATGATTTGAAATTTGTCGTCTTTCTAAGAGATAATACCCAATGCTTTATGACCAAAACAGGCCAGTGTTACAGC